CTCCTCCTCCTCCTCCTCTGCTCCTGCCCTCCCTCCCTCTCCTCTCCTCTCCTCTCCTCTCCTCTCCCTCCTCTCCCTCGCCCCCTCCCTCTCCTCCCCCTCCCCCATCCCTCCCTCCCTCCCCCCCCCCCTCCCTCCCTCAATCTCTCCCCCTCTCCCTCCCTCCATCCCCCGCAGTCCTCCTCGAGCTGGGCGTTGCGCTCCCGCTCCTGGGCTCCCGGGGGGGGGGGGGGGAGGGGGAGGGGGCGCGGCCGCAGCATGGAGAGCCAAGCGGGGGAGCGGCAGAAGCGGGCAGGAGCCAGGGGCATCGCCCGTCCTCCACGGGGCGACCATCCTGCATCGATCCACCATCGTCCATCGATCCTCCATCCTCCATGGGCCCCCTCCCCCATCCTCTGACATCCTCCTCCGCTCTCTAGGTCGACCCTCCGTCCTCAAAGTCGTCATCCGTCCTCCTCGATCCTCGTCAGTCCGCCTCCTCCATCCTCCTCCTCCTCCTCCTCCTCGTCCTCCTCCTCCTCTCCATCCCCTCCATGCTCGCTCCTCCTCCTCCTCCTCCATCCCGTCTCCATGCACGCAACTCCCCCCTGTCGCACCCCCAAACGTGTCGGTAGGGCGGGCTGGGCGCTTCGCCTGAGGCCTTCCTCGCGTCGTCTGATCCTGAAGCTTGGGATGTGCAACCGCGTCTCGCCTTGAATGTGGTCCTCGCCTTCTCGCCGCACACATTCGCCGCACACATTCGCCTTAAACATGCGCCATAGCTTCAAAGATGGAGGGCGGCCAGTGCTCGGCATGTGGCTCTCGCGTCAGCGCCGCGCACACTCGCCTTACAAATGTGCGATGGGTTCCCAGGTGAAGGGCGGCCCGTGTTCAAGATGTGGCTCTCCCCATAGCGCCGTGCGCTTTCGTCTCACAGTTCGCAACAGTTTGAATGATGGTAGGCGGATCCTTGTTCAAAATGTGGTTCCCGCCTCAAAACTTAAAACCTATTCCAAGGTTCGCACGGTTGAAGTCCCAGGAATGGTGTTCTGGCAAGGTTTAGGCTTGTCAGGACGCAACAGTCACCATAATCCACCGTGTTGAGTCCCAAGAGTTGCGGTCTGGTACAATTTCGGATTGGCAGGACGCAACAGTCATGTTGGCTCGCGGCGTTGAAATCCCAGGAATGATGTTTTGACACGGTTGGAGATTCACAAACGATTGCTGTCCACTGGGGCATTTCCAGCAATGACAAAAAACTCCCTTAGAAAAGAATGATGGCGGGGGAACTTGAAAAGAGGGATACATCATGATATCACCATCATTTCCGCAACAATCATCATTGCTACCACCAGCAATATCAGCATATCGTCACATGCATAAGCAGGGTCAGCATCATAAGCGTCACATGTGTCTCGACATCAACATGTGTGTCGTCGTCATCAGCGTCATCAGCGTCATCAGCATCATCAGCATCATCAGCAGCAGCATCATCACCAGCAGCAGCATCGATATCAGCATCAGCAGCAGCATCAACACCAGCAGCAGCATCAACATCAACAACATCACCCTCATCGTCATCTGCATCATCAACATCAGCAGCATAGTCAGCAACACCAGCATCCTCAGCATCACCACCACCATCATCATCGTCAGCATCATCATCAGCACCATCATCACCATCACCATCACCATCACCATCACCATCATCATCATCATCAGCATCATCATCAGCAGCAGCAGCATCAGCATCATCATCATCATCATCATCATCATCATCAGCATCATCATCATCGTCATAACACCATCATCATCAGCATGATCATCATCATCATCATCATGATCGCCATACTCAGTATCATCATGACCATGCAGCAGTATCATCACAATATGAGCAGCAGCGTCATCACCATCAGTATCAGTAGCATCATCATCATCATCACAAGCATCAGCATCAGCATCAGCATCCGCAGCATCATCATCGGCATCATCATCAGAATCATCATCAGTATCATCATCATCATCAGCATCATCATCAACATCTGCATCATTATCACCATAAACATAATCATAAACAGCATCATACACATCATCATAAACATCATCACCAGCATCGTCATCATCATGGGCATAGCCGCATCGCTCAAAATCATCACCATCAACATACTCATCAGCATACTCATCATCTGTATCATCACCATGATCATCACCACCATCATCATCATCGTCATCATCATCAGCATCGCCATCATCATCCTCATCATCATCATCATCATCGTCATCAACATCGTCATCGTCAGGAGCATCAGCATCAGCATCAGCAATATCATCCTCGTCATCATCATCAGCGTCATTACCACCATCATAATCATCATCATTAGCATCATCACCGTCATCATCATCGTCATCGTCATCGTCAGAATCATTATCATCATGATCAACAGCACCTTCATCATCGTCGTCTTCGTCGTCGTCTTCGTATTCGTCCTCGTCGGAGTCGGAATCGGTGGCGACATAGTCATCGGCATCGTCATACTGATCGTCATCGTCATCGGCATCGTCGGCATCGTCGGCATGATGATCGTCATCAGCAGCAGCAGCATCATTATCAGCACTCGCAAACCAGTCAACATAATCTGCAGCAAATTCATCCGCGCATCCTCATCATCAGCAGCATCGTCGTTGTCGTCATCTCCATCGTGACCATCAAAAACACCGCCATCAGCACATCGTCATGGTCATCCCTCCGCCATCCGTCATCCGCCATCCACCTCTGGCCTCGTTCTCCTCCTCCTCCTCCTACTCCTCCTCTTCCTCCTCCTCCTCCTTCTCCTCCTCCTCCTCCTCCGCCTCCATTCCTCCTACATTCCTCCTCTCTTCCTCCACCTTATCCTCCTTCTTCTCCTCCTCATCCTCCTCGTCCCTCATCGCTGTCCTCTGCCCTGCCCTCCACTCCCCCCATCCCCCGTTTTCTCCTCCACCTCCTGCTCCTTCTCTTCCTCCTCCATCCCTCGTCCTTGATCCGCCGATCCCCGCTTGCTGGAGGTGAAAAAAGCTTGTGAGGCATTTGACTGTCCCCCTCCCCCGTTCACCCCTCTCCTGGGGTCCAGAATGCCATTCTAGGGGGGGGGGATGACTGAGCTCGTCAACGCACCCCCGGGGCCTCCGGAGCCCTGAAAAAGCCCCAAGAGAGCCCAACTGCGCCCAGGCAGAGCGCCAAGACAGTCGAAGAGAGCGTCATGACGGCCCAGGGTAGCCCCACGACGATCCAAGATGGCTTCAAGATGGCTCACGAGGCTCCCAAGACAGCCCAAAAGCGCCGCCAGACGATCGCCGAGAGGGCCCCAAAAGGCCAAAATCATCCCTTTTCCAAAAGAAAACGTAAATTTTCAGCAACACATTCGCATCTTACGTTGTGACAGCGAACACGACGGCCAAAGTGGCCCCCAAGATCGTCCCAAGACGGCCCATGATGCCTCCGAGAAGGCCCCAACACGGCCCAAGAGGGCTGAAAGACAGCCCCAGAGGCCCCCCAAGACGGCCCAAGACAGCCCCTGGAGGGCCCCAAGAGGGCTCCAAGAAGGCCCAAGACGGAGAATACGAAGTGACATTTCGAGCCTTTCCCAACAAGATGGCCCTTCGCGCCCTAGAGGCCCCTGAGGCCCCTCCGAGAGGCCCCAAGATGCCTCCAAGACGGCCCAAGAGAAACCCTCCAGAGACCCCCGCGAGGCCCCCCAGAAGCCTCCCAGGCCCCCCCAAGAGTTTTCCAAGAGGCGCCCAGAGAGGCATCCCAAGAGACCCTCAGATTGATCTAGGAGGCTCCTGACCACCAAGATACCTATACGACCACCCTTCGGGTGATAAGGAGGTTGTGGAGGGGGGAGAGGGGGGGGAACCAACATCTGACTCAATCGATCTCACTATCGATCTCACTCAACGGGACACCACGGGACACCACGGGACACCACGGGACACTTATCAATCTCACTATCAATCTCACGATCGATCTCACTCAACGAGACACCACGGGACACCACGAGCCACCACGGGACACGACGGGACACCGCAGGACACCTCTCGATCTTACTATCGGTCTCACTATCGATCTCACTATCGATCTCACTCAACGGGACACCATAGGACACCACGGGACACCACAGGACACCACGGGACACCTCGGGACACCACATCGATCTCACTATCGGTCTCACTATCGATCTCACTATCGATCTCACTCAACGGGACACCATAGGACACCACGGGACACCACAGGACGGGACACCTCGGGACACCACATCGATCTCACTATCGATCTCACTATCGATTTCACTATCGATCTCACTATCGATCTCACTCAGCGGGCCACCACGGGACACCACGGGACACCTGTAGATCTCACTATCGATCTCACTATCGATCTCACTTTTTGGGACACCACTGGACACCACGGGACACCTCGGGGTACCACATCGATCTCAGTATCGATCTCACCATCGATCTCACTGTCGATCTCACTATCGATCTCACTATCGATCTCACTATCGATCTCACTATCGATCTCACTCAGCGGGCCACCACGGGACACCACGGGACACCGCGGGACACCGCGGGACACCGCGGGCCACCGCCGGACGGACGGACGGACGGGCGGGCGGGGGAGAATCATTTGTCTTGACTTCGCCCTAGCAACGGCGGACACCACGGGACACCACGGGACACCGCGGGACACCGCGAGCCACCGCCGGACGGGCGGGGGAGAATCATTTGTCTTACCTTCGCCCTAGCAACGGCGGGTTCATTCCTCTCGGGCGCCCACGCAGCTTCGCCTCGCCCGCGCGCGCGCGACACGAACGAAACGAAACGAGTTCCTGGTTGGGGGTCTCCATTCCACTGCGATCTCATCCCCCAAGCTCCGATAACTTCCACGATCGTCTCAAACACTCTCTCACTGAGGAGGTCTGCAGAATGGCGTAAGCCACTTGAAAAACTCCTCCCTCTCGCACCCCGAGACGAGTCGGTAGGGCGGGCCAGGCGTGTCGCCTTAGACCTCCTCACCGCTTATGATTCTGAAGATTAAAACTTCCAAAAGTTCCACTGATGGAGGGCGGGTGGTTTTCAAAATGTGGCTCCCGCTTCAGCGCCGCTTGGAGTCGCTCGCTCTCTCTCTCTCTCTCTTTCCCATCTCCGTCCCTCTCTCTCTCTCTCTCTCTCCCTCCCTCCACCCATCCATCCCTCACTCCCTTCCTCCTACGTACGACGACGTCGGCGATGCGGCGACGATGGCGACGACGACGCCCATTGTTGCCAATGTCGCAAATGACGCCGACGACGACGACGACGACGACGACGACGACGACGAGGACGACTGAAACGACAACGGAAACGACGACAGAAACCACGCCAATAACGACGAGGCGAAGAGGATGTGGAGGACAGCCGTGAGGCGACGAGAGAGGCGAAGGGACGAAGGAGGCGGCGGCAGGAAGAGGTGGGGGGCGAGTGTGTGTGTGTGTGCGTGAGGAAGTGGGGGGCGAGTGTGTGTGTGTGTGAGTAAGAGGGGGAGGGGATAGGCGGGGCGACGGTCACGGTCGACCGGGGGTGGGGCAAGGAAAGGCCAGTGCAAGGGCAAGGAGGGGGGCCTTGACCAGGGCCAGCTCAAGCCGCTGAAGCTCCTTGTACGCCTCCACGATCTCGTAGGTCGCGAAGCTGGCTGGCACGCCCGCTCCCTCCACCCCCCAAGCCCTCGCGCCGCGTTCCTCCGACTGTTCCCCCCGAGCCGCTGGAAGGCACCGCGAGGCTGGAAAGCCGTCGAGATAAGACGAAAACGTTCGACGACCCTGAACTCGAACCCCCTCAGCCAAAAACGCCGAACCTCGAGCCTCGAACCCCCATCGAACGCCCGATGATCTGGAACCTCGAGCCTTTTTCCACCTGAGCTCAGCGCCCCCGAACTTGAGCAGGGACCGACCGTCCCGGCATTCATATAGGCCTACCACGCCATGCTGTCAGAACCAAAAATGCCACCAAAAGACAAAGCCGTGCTCTTGAACCATGCAAGGGATGTACAATACAAAGACGGTCTCAGCCAGAAGTGCTGCACACCACACCCAAAAAAATAGAACATTCTCTGGTGGGCCTTCCTGCGGGAACGGTGCTCGTGCACCGCCCGCACACCGTGTCCGGACTCCCTTCAGGCCTCGCTCCAGCGCGGTGCGGTGCCCGGCTCCCCGGGCCGCAGCGCTGTGCACCGCACCGCTCCTGGGCCGAGCATCGACGACGCCCCAGGACACGCCAACGCGGCACGGTGCTCGCGAACCGCACGGCAGGTGAGAGTTTTCTTATTCGGCGTTTCGATACTGGGCAGAAAGGGAGGGGGGGAGGGAGGGGGGGTCTGGCTCCGGACCTCTGCTTGATGCGACTGTTTGCAGAAGTGCGTCCCACGGGGGAGACTCCACCTGAGTGAAACAGGCGCCCGAAACAGCCAGGATCTAATCCATAGGGGGGGGGGGGATACGAAGACCCGCGCCGATCGGCAAAGCAATGAATAAAGAAACGGTCACGACGCTGCGCCACTGCTTGCCGCACGCTGCCCCGCGGCGAGCAGACCGAGGCGGCAGCACAGGCAGGGAGCGCCGGAGGGCCGCCTCCCGTGCTCGCCATGCCGCCCGGGCGTGGGCAAGGCGCCCCGGCGGCGGCGGCCCACAGATGGGGCCTGGCGCGGCCGCCTGCGCGCGTCAAGGCGGAGGGGGAGGAGTGGCGAGGCTCCTCCTCCTCCTCCTCCTCCTCCTCCTCCTCCTCCTCCGCTGCTGCTTCTTATCCTTATTCTTCTTCATATGATTAAGTGAATTATCAATGCTACTCTTCTTAATATTGTTAATCTTGTTACGATTATTATGATTACTCTTCTTATTACTAATATTAGTAGTAGCGTTAGTCTGATTAATATTATTATTATTAGTAGTATTATTATTACTAATATTATTAGTAGTATTATTATTATTATTAATATTATTATTATTATTAATATTATTATTATTATTAATATTATTAGTGTTACTATTATTATTCATATTACTAGTATTACTACTACTACTACTACTACTACTACTACTACTACTACTACTACTACTACTACTACTACTACGACTACTCCTACTACTATTTCTATTACTATTACTATTATCATTAGTAATATTGTTATGAATAGTATTGTTAGTAATAGTAGTAATAGTAGTACTCGTATTAGTATTATTAGTTTGTCATATGATTCGTCCTCTTCATAGAATGATTATTCCTCTTAGTAGTCGTATCATTATTATTCTTAGTATTGTCGATAGTACTCTTAGTATGACGAATGTTACGAATAGTACTTTTGTTCTTACTATTGGTATTATTGTCGGTATTCGTCTTATTATTCGAATTATTATTATTAGTAGTAGTCCTATTACTACGCTTATGCTTATAATTATTCTTGTTGTATTATCATTATTATTACTATTCATCCTCCTCCTCCTTCGATCCTCCTCCTCCGCCTCCTCCTTCGATCTTCCTCCTCCTCCTCCTGCTCCTCCCCCCTGCTGGAGAGAGAGAGGGGGGGAGGGACGAAGGGAGGGAGGGAGGGAGGAGAGGCAGCATCAGTCAGCATCGAATCCGGAACTCGGATCAAATCGGAACGTGCGTCGGATCGGGCCGCATCAGAGGAGGAGGAGGAGGGGGAGGAGGAGGGGGGAAAGAGTTTTTTGCTGTATGCGACTGCCCAGGCAAGGTTCCGTAGATGATGACAGGCAGGCTGGAAAACACGCGACGGACCCACACAAGCGCTGCCGCTACGAGCGGCGCCGCGAGTGCCAGTCCCACGATCAACGTGACGAGTCGCACTGTAAAGCAGAAACTACAGGCATAAAACGCACCGCAGTAGAGTCCCCTGCAGCGCGCAGCCGCGAAGCCACGCGGACGGCAGGGGAAATTAGCCACGGCTTCAGGCAGAGCTCGGAAATTACAAGCTCACCGTCCGCAAAACAGCGGAAGCCGTCGAAATCGAAATGCGCCGTTTGTCGCACCCTCATCCGCCTCGACCCCAGGAAGCAGCCCCAAAAGACAGGCTGCCTCAACCGAGGGAGGCCCACAAGGTGATGTGGGAGGCACCGAACCAAGACCGCCATCGACCTCAATCGCACAGGTGCAGGCGATCGCAACCTGAGGCGCCTCAACCGAAGGAGGCTCCTCCGCAACACGATCCTCATCCCTGCAACCTGACTGGCTGAGGGTCGGCATGGCAGCGAGAAAGGCCTCGCCACTCCTTAAAGTACCGTCGTGGCGAGCCTCGGCAACTGGAGGCTCAACCAAACATCCAACAATATCAAGGCGATCCTCAAAAGGAGGCTCAGCCGTGCGAACATGATGTGTATGATTCCCAAGCAACTGGAATGCTCCTATATCAGCAACGCCGACGCTGTGATGAACAAACAGGAGGAGGGGAAGAGGAAAAGGAGGCGGGGAAGGAGGAGGAGAAGGAGGAGGAGGAAAAGGAGGCGGGGAAGGAGGAGGAGAAGGAGGAGGAGGAGGAGGAGGAGGAGAGGAGGAAGCAGAAGGAGGAGGAGGAGGACGGGGAGGAGGAAAAGGCCCCCCCCCTTGCCTCCATGCCTCCCTCCCTCCCTCCCCTTCCCCCCCCTGCCCTGCCCCCAGCGGGCTTCCCTGCCTGCGGGCCCGGCCTGGCGGCGGGACGGCGCGGGCAGCGTGGGGATTTCGAGCCCTGGGGGCTGCATGCGCCCTCTTTCTGCTCCTCCATCCCTGTCCCACATGAACAAGTTATGTCGACAGCGAGCGAGAGAGGGAAGTGAGATGCAGGAGGCCTTCTCAGAAGGCAGCGGGGCTTCTCGGAAGCCCTCCGGCCTTCTGAAAGGTGTTCTGTCTTCGGGGAAGGCCGAGAACACTTCTCGGAAGACCAGAAGACTCCCGCGCCTTCTGCGAAGGCCTGCCCCCTCTCGCTTCCCCCCGGGCTGGCCGCCCATGCATCCAATTACGTACCAAGCTAATGACCCATACCTGTCGCACCCCCAAACGTGCCCATTCGAAAGGCCGGGCTTTCGGCCTGAGAACTCCTCACCACGTACGATGCTGAAGCTAGGCATTGGGAACAGATTGAAGGATGGAGGGCAGGTGGCTTTCAAAATGTGGCTCTCCCTTCAGCGCCGCGCACATCCGCATCAAAAGCTTGGAGGGAGCACGATCCACCGTCGCTGGCCGGAAAAAATGCTCTACGGGGGGGGGGACCAGAAGGCCTCTCCCCCACTGAAAAAAACAACTCCTCAAGAGAGGGTCAGAAACCGTGGAGGCCCTCCCCCCAAACCCTCCACCCAACCGCTCCCCCCACTCATGGGAAGAACCCAAGGGGGTCTGGAGCACCCCCCCCCCAAGGAAAAATACATGGGGAAGGTCCAGATACCCCCTTCTCCACACCCCAGAAAAAACTGAGTGGAGGATCCAGAACCTTCCCACCCACCACCCATAACCTACTACTACTGCTACTTCTACCACCACTACTACTACTACTACTACTACTACTACTACTACTACTACTACTACTACTACTACTACTACTACTACTACTACTACTACTACTACTACTACTACTACTACTACTACTACTACTACTACTACTACTACTACTACTACTACTACTACTGCAACTACAACAACTACTACTACTACTACTACTACTACTACTACTACGACTACTACTACTTTACTAAACTAACTACTAACTATACTACACTACTACTACTACTACTACTACTACTACTACTACTACTACTACAACTAGACTACACTACTACTGCTACTACTACTACTACTACTCACGACTACTACTACTACTACTACTACGACTACTACTGCGACTACTAATGATAAGAAAACGACGAGTGTTACTACTACTACTACTACTACTACTACTACTACTACTACTACTAGTACTACTAGTACTACTACTACCACTACTACTACTATTACTATTACTGCGACGCCCACGAGTACGACAACGACGACTACTACTACTAATAATAATACTAGACTACTACTACTACTACTACTACTACTACTCC